CTGTCTACTTCAGGCGTGATACAGCTACCATAGACACTTTAGTCACATCGCTTAATAGATAAACTACAGAGTCATACTACTGATGCTTCCGCCCCATGAGTACAGAAAGGACTATTTGCCTAGCTACTATGAGCCGAATTTGCTACACAACGTTGTACTGGGAGCTAACAGTGTTCAAACCACTTAAAAATGAACCTACGCGAGTGCAGCTGTTGACTACGCCAGGCTCCAGCCGTGACGAGAATGTCCACGAATAGACAACAAGACCAATTTTACAGCTCACGAGCGCATCTTAACTTGCGTGCATAATGCAAATTATTGCCCACGCCTAGTATCTGAATGCCTCGAGACCATGCCGAAGGAACATGCCAAAAGAAGTACCCATTTATCTATGAGCAACCGATAATAGCATCACCCTGGCACACAATCGCGGCAAGGCTATCCTGTCATCAGCGCACCTCCATAGGTATACGCCATCTATACTCATGAATCTACTTTGACACGCGAGAGAGGGAAGCGCGCTGGCGCATCGCAGGCCCGCCTTCCGTCCCTTCGACACTGTCCGGTGCACAGCCCCGTACTCTTGCACCCCCTCTGCCTCGCCGCTGCCTGGCGCAGCCTGCTTAGCAGCGCACCAATGGGTGGTTGCGAAAGTGCGCGGCGGAGGAAGGCATGCTGCAAGCGGCCAGATCGGCTTGCCAGGAGGTTGAGCTCGCCCTGTATCCTCAGCGGCTGCGAAGGTGTGGCGCTCGTCTCTCTCCCTCGTCTGCTGCTAGCTACTCTCCTGTTCTCTGTCCCTCTCTAGTCTCAGCCTCGCTCCACTCCGCGTACACCTGGGACCTACTCTCTCACGTTCTTCTGCGATCTGCCTGCGCGCACTCTATTCACTCTCTATGCGAGCAGCCGCGACGACCACTAGACTCTCTGTTCGGCTCTTCTCCCTCTTCGCTACTCCTCTTCTCGCGATCGATCTGCTATCCATCTCTGCTTCTCAGGCTCTCGCGCTCTTATGCTTTCCACCGTCTCCTTCTCGGGATGCATCGCCCTGTGCATGATCTGCGCCTCTCCCTCATGTCTCTTCATCGCTCCTCTCTCTTCTCCTCTCTCCTCTTTCTCTCCAGCCGCCCGTCTCTCTCGACATCTCCTTCATATATAATCTCTCTGCTCATCTCCAGATTTCATCATCAGCTTCAAAGTTCTTCCATCTATCGTCTCTCGCGTTCTAACTCAGCTCTCCCTTCTTGCCTTCTCTTATCAGCCGTCGCCTCTTTCTCTCAGACTCATTGATCCCGACTTTCCCTCTCTGTACGCTTGCGTGTACACAGCAAATTTTCAATTCGTCATCATATAATTATTCTAAACGATTGTTCCTTTTCAAACCAAAACTTCCCCATAGTTTATGTCGCACTGTTACGTATGGTTCTGCCTGGATACCCGTACGCCGCGTACTTCACTATTAGTTTTTGCTCAGTCGCTAGGTGGGTTCCATGGGCGGGGCTCCCGGCGGGGCGGCCAGGCGCGGGCGCGGCGCGGGCGTGTAGATGACCTACTGCTTCAGACGAGTTGAGTCAGCGGTTCCGTCCGCAGTTCCTTGCACAGATACTGCCCTCGGCCATCCTACGGCGCGTGGGGTCGACGCGCCGGCGCGAGGGGGGCCAGGGCGGGGCGGTCAACTACAGCTTGCAGGAGATAAGCGTTAAACGGTCTGCGGGCGCGCTCAAAGGACTGCCATAACCGCGCCTACCTGCAGGTTACGACGGCAGCGGCCATGCGCTGAGTATTTACCTCAAGGCGGGGAGCGGGCCGTCCGGGGCAATGGGGCCGTCGCCCATGGAAACCGTTGCGTCGCGGCGCGTATAGGCGTAGCGGGGCCAAGCCCGAGTGGAGAGTATCGTTTATGGCGGGCGAACAGTCACACGAACTGCTCAGCAGCCCTCGGGGCAATCCATGTTACCAAAAGAGTGTTCGGCCGACATTCATTTCATGGCTGGACACGACTCCATACTACGCGGGAGCGTTGCGGCGGAATGGTTCCTCACCTCGAGAGCCAGGCTGGACAGCGTTGAGCACACCAGGGCGGTGGGAGTGATCAGGTGCTCCTTCACAGATCGTCATCATGTCACACGGCAGTTTTGAGGTGTGTACCGGTACGTGGCAAGCAGTTGTGCTGCTATGTGTGTGTGTGTGTGTGTCGCGCGCGGTCTGTGTCAATGTGCTGCGGCGTGCCGCTGCTGTGTTGGTGCGTCTGCCATTGCTTGTTTGCGGCGCGCGCTAACGCGCCATCTATCCTAATCGTCATGCATTGCCTTCACAAAACCTTGCTAACATCAGTCGCTCGTAATATACCTTGATCAAGTTAGCATGATAGATGTGGTATCTATTGATTATAATAAGTCCACACCCAGTAGTCCTTGTAATATAGCGGATGGTAAGGAATTTAGTAGCAGAAAACATCGAGGTGATGGTTTGTGAAATAGCACATGCGGCGTTGCTGTGTGGCTGGCCCTCCCCCTCCCCCTTGTCGCCCGCCAGCAACCCAAAGATTTGCCGCGACAAGCGCATGTGGGGGGGGATCGGCTCGTGATGTGTCGCGTCGACTGCCCTATCTTCCTTATCCTCTCTTTCTCTCTTGCCCACCCTCTCCGCCCTCTCTCTCACCATATCCTCCTTCTCTCTTTCTCTCTTGCCCACCCTCTCCGCCCGCTCTCGCCCTATCTTCCTTTCCTCCTCTTTCTCTCGCTGGCTCTTTATATCTCGCCCCTATCCTCCTTCCCTTGTCTTTCTCTCTTGCCCACCCTCTCCGCCCTCTCTCGCCCTATCCTCTTTCTCCTCTCTTTCTCTCTTGACCACCCTCTCCACCCTCTCCTGCCCCTATCCTCCTTCTCCTCTCTTTCTCTCTTGCCCACCCTCTCCGCCCGCTCGCGCCCTATCTTTCTTTCCTCCTCTTTCTCTCGCTGGCTCTTTATATCTCGCCCCTATCCTCCTCCCCTTGTCTTTCTCTCTTGCCCACCCTCTCCGCCCTCTCTCGCCCTATCCTTCTTCTCCTCTCTTTCTCTCTTGCCCACCCTATCTACCCTCTCCTGCCCCTATCCTCCTTCTCACCTCTTTCTCTCTCTGGCTCTTTATCTCTCGCATCTATCTTCCCTCTCTTCTCTTTCTCTCTTGTCCATCCTCTCCGCCCACTCTCCACCCGCGGTAACCCTCATGTGCGACGAGTAACAAGATAATCAAATATACGTACAACAAATAAACGTTAATTATAATTATGCGTTAGAATAGTACGTTAAAAGTAATAATAACGTACTATAGTCTGCCCTGAACTCTTCCGTGTAGGCTTCGCTGGCGACGCAGTTCTCTTCCATCGCACACTGCAGCAGGTACAGCTGCCTGTCCTCCAGGTACACGCTCTGCTCCAAGATGGGGGCGTCGATCTCCAGATCAGACAGCTCTGTGGCAAAGACACGCACGCATGAGAGAGCGAGTAAGTAAGTACTCGGTTCACGCGTAAATACACGAACGCATGAGAGAGCGAATAGATACACAGGATGATACATTACATGTCTACTTCACGTTAGATTACGTTAGATAACATAACATTACATCAAAAGCTTCTTAATACACTCTTGATTACATTACATGACAGAACATTACATTAGATTGTATTACATTACATTAGATTGCATTGCATTACATTGGATAACAATACATTATATTACATTACATCACATTTCAGCTGTGACCCTTAATGGCGCATGTAATTGTGCTGTTATCGCCGCTAGATCTACGTGTAACAAGTGAACACCAACACATTCACATCTCTATACCATCTGCGCATATAATTCCAGCGATGTTCTCTTGTCCCGGGCAGAAAACGTCGCCAAACTGTCCGTGGTAGCACTCGCTCAAAGACGATTCGTTGCCATGACAATGCACCTCGCTTAGAATCACATCACCGATGTCGCCACCGAAGAACGTTGTCTGCAAGAAAACAAATGATCACGCAATAGACGTAACCCTATGTTAACAAACCACGTTTCCAGATGTCAAACAGGTATGTCCTTCTGTTTCTTAAACTATAAATATACAAGGAGTCCTTCCCAGTTGTCATTTTCAATGTCGTCTCAGTACTGTGCTAGATATCACCCGTTGATTCACGGTTCTTTCTTTTCAGGTGTCTCTAATCCCTTAATAGCGGTAACAATTTAGCAAGAGGTTCGACTTTAGCGGTACTTTGATCGGGCAAGTCAAATGGACCGATGCCAACTTACAACGTCAAAAGTTCGAAGGAACATAACACGTACTTTTACTGCCTTCGCGGCTACGTTTTTCACCTACCTGCACTTACACCGTACTGCATTAGCGGTTACATTTTTTCACATACCTGAATTTATACCGTACTACCTTAGCGGCTATACCTTGTTTACGTACCTGCACTTATACCGTACTGTCTTCACGGCTATACCTTTTTCACGTACCTGAACTTATACCGTACTGCCTTCGCGGTTACCTATTTCACGTACCTGCACATATACCGTACTGCCTTCGCGGCTATACCTTTTTTTCGTACCTGCGCATATACCATACTGCCTTCGCGGTTACCTTTTTTTCGTACCTGCACATATACCGTACTGTCTTCACGGCTAAACCTTTTTCTCGTACTTGCACATATGCCGTACTGCCTTCGCGGTTACCTTTTTCACGTACCTGCACATATACCGTACTGCCTTCGCGATTACCATTTTCACGTACCTGCACATATATCGTACTACCTTAGCGGCTATACCTTGTTTACGTACCTGCACTTATACAGTACTGCCTTCACGGCTATACCTTTTTTTCGTACCTGCACATATACCGTACTGCCTTCGCGGTTACCCTTTTCACGTAAAATATTGTCAATAACAATATTGTCAAATATTGTCAAATATTGTCAAATATTGTCAATAACAAAATTGTCAATATTGTCAAATATTGTCAAATATTGTCAATAACAAAATTGTCAATAAAAATAACAAAAATGACAATTTGTCATTATTAGCTCCTGGTATTATATTGTAATTGTGATTAGATACGCAAGGTGGAGAATAGCTAAAGCATGTTCTATACACGTGAACGAATGTAGGATGTCCTACCTACAATTAGGCCTAATCTCAAATCAACGATTTAATATCAACCGCGTACGATGGTAATTCCCGATGTGGGCTTGGGTGAGCTGTATGATTCATTTGATTTATTTTATAATTTTTTAATCACACACTAGGTGGCGCCAGTTAGGTCTTACCGACAACCAAGTGCAGCGACACATTGACGTGCTATTAATGATTTTTATGCGCTTCCCAGACGGTACCCGCGGGATTGAATCTTCGCCCAGCGACGGGAGCGAAATAGGTAAACAAATATACACGTTATCAGGGTGATTCCACGGGGAAGCACTGCTGTTGCGGTTAGATACCAGATTGAGGAATACATGGAAGAACCACGCGAATAAGTGTAAATTACTGAGCATTTGTTTAACTGTAGTTAAGTGATGTAAAATGAAATAGTTTGGAAGTACCTATATTAATGTTGCTGTCGGACTTGCTGAGTTAATCTGTTGTTGTAATAAATTTTTATTGTATGACATTTTTGGTCATAACTTTATTAATCGTACAAGCGGTTGCAACCAAAGAGTTACTGCGACTTTTTATTTTTAATTAATTGCAAATATTTTATTTAAAGCCTTGGTGCAACCCGGTGGTACAAAATGTAATGGCTAACAATACCTATGTCTCAAATATGTATTCGGAGTTGAAAAGGCAAGTCTATTTGTCTCATCACTTGCTATTAATATATTACTTTATGATCTAAACAAATAACTGTAGTAAAACTGCATTGTTTACTAAGACGTGCTGTACTTTACTATTTACTTATAGTAGAACTTGTTAGTAAGCTAAGCACAATGATAATGTTTCTAAATTAGTTACTTCCGGCAACACAACAATAAAAGTATATGCCATATAACGAGAAAAATATCGCTAATATATCATAAAGCAAGTCATTAATTACCTAATTGTAAATTTTTTGTAAAAGAACGTTTACGTATAATCAGTATAATTAATTATTATGGAAATTACCTAACCAGGACGACAAATGCTTACGTAAATATATAATAAATGATACAAAGTTACTAATATCCGTGTTAATTAAATATTGAAAAGCAATTACATAAATTACATTAGCACGAAATTAATGGAGTTAAAATATGTTATAAATGCATGTCAATATCACGCAGTTTGGCCTTAAAACCACAAAGCCACTTTCATTGCCGCCATCTTGCAAGTGCAACTCCTTGCAACATCCGCAACGTCTTCTGCAGATTCTGATATCTAACCTAGGTATCTATAGTTTCAACTCGAGCACTTTAAAACGTCGAATTATATTTACCTATTACAGAGCGATCTAATTAACTAACTAATGCAATATAATCAACTATTAACTTCGCGTAAATTACATAAAAGACGAATTTTTATGAAAACCAAATATTTAGGTAAAACGCCCAACTTATACCTATATTGTCGACGACTATTGATACTATGCTCCTATTAGAACCGCCACTGATAGTTCCCATGCTGGTCTATACACTGGTCTTCGCTGCATCTTTGAGTTAGCGGAGAGGCATCAGTCTGGGTTAGGGCCTGCTGAGGTAGCAGTTTCTCGCGGATACGTGGTAACCGGTGTAAGTCAACTCACACGTCGCCACGTTGTTGTCAAAACTCTGTTCAGCTACCTTGTACTCTGGGTTGATCGACACCTGCGCGAACGTAAACAAAAATCCACTGATGTGTGAGAGCGACGGACGCCCCCCCCCCGAGCATGCAACAGCGACAACGACGACGACGACAATAGTAATGATAACAATAATAACAAAATAATAAACATTGACAATACTATATAAATACAATAATAAACAGTGATAGTAATAATACAACAATATAACAACAATATTAATAATGATGATGATGATGATAATAATAATAATTATAGGCCTAATAACAAAAATAATAATCAAAATTCCCCAAAATCAGTTACTCGTTCTCGGCTTACCCTGAATATGTAAACCCCGGGTTTTACTCCGGTGATGTCGATCCATTGGCAGTCGATATTGTGTAGGTATGTGTCCGCACATCCTGGTGAAATACCTACAAAACACCTGTCGTTTAGAAAGCCCCAACCAGTAACGTGCACGTTACGTTACGTTACGTTACGTTACGTTACGTTACAAATACCCAACGTGCACGTTGCATGGTATTCACAAGGGAATCAGAGAAATTCTATATAGTATATATGCTTGAACAGACATCAATGTAGACTTACAAACATCCTCTGGTACGTGCGATGTAGTGATAAAAACGAGCACGCAAATACCGCTAAGGGGAAGCGGGGGTTTCAGTACCTTGGTCGCCGTAGTCTTCGCATGCATACGACGGCGTAACACCTTCGCTACAGGAGTTATCTTCTAGGCAGAAGCTCGCCTTGTGTCCCTCCGCGACTCTCACGCCTGTCTTTGGATCAGTGATGTCGTAGTGAGTGAACACTTCCATGCTGTGATAATGCCTGCAGGAGAAACACGTAGTGGTGGATGATATATACACGCGTGGCATCTAAACACGATAGATTCCTAATGAGGCGCCCATTATGTCAGAAACAAAATAAGACTTAACATTAACATTAGCATTAGCATTAGCCTTAAGTTTACGATGTTTCTGACAAAATTAGACTTAACATTAACATTAGCATTAGCATTAGCCTTAGGTTTACGATGTTTTTGACAAAATCAGACTTAACATTAACATTAGCATTAACATTAGCCTTGACTTTACGATGTTTCTGACAACAAGCCCGAGCTTTTTAAAAACGCTACGATTTCAATTTACTTTATTTACACGTATGAATTACATTTTGGAGGTAACATATTAGTTAAACTAGAGCACTCGGAGAGCACAGACCTCCGCTAAGGCAGCTCAATTCTGTCACTGTAAAAAATTTAATTAATTATTTAATTAATTAAATAATTAATTCGATCCGGATCACGACCAAAATGTAATCAATTCTAAGTTACCCCATTTCTGACGTATCCTAAAATTTAATTAAGTACTTAATTAATGTAATTAATTGGATCCGGATCAGCACCAAAAATTTCATCAATTCTAAGTTAGCCCATTTCCGACCTATCCTGAAAATTTTATGACAATCCGTCCATAACTTTTTCAATTAGGTTGTACACAAACAAACCACAAACAACAACACACAGCCGAACAAACACACGCCGGTGAAAACATAACCTCCTGCCAACCCCTTGGCGGAGGTAACAAGTTAATAGACAATCCTGATAACATTAAAACGGATTCGATTCACTTCGAAGTTAGTCGATGGGGGATGTTAGTGAAATGCGCTGTTGGGTATACCGTCAGACGTCCAGACGGTAGACGAGTGTGTGGCGGCACACGTACGTACATGTGGCACTGGGTGCCACTCCCAGAGGTGCTTCTGCTGGAAGGGAAGGAATCTGCATTGCCCACGTTGATGATGCGGCTCGTGAAGCGCAGGAGTCGCCGTGTCTGTACAGCCAGTCTGGTCGGACGGATACAAGGTATTTTATTCTTAAGTTATTACGCTTTCTACATATGTCGCTGGGGGATAAGTAACAATCAACCCTGATACAGCTGACAACGGGAGATAGTATTTGCGGCTGCGCTGAGCTCATTTCATATATGCCACCTATCTATCTCTCTAATCGCTCTAATACTGCATCCTCATCTATCTCTCCGTATCTCTGTACTGTCTGTCTATCTGTCTGTCTGGTCTCTCTGCTCTCATTCTTCTGTCTGTCTGTCTGTCTGTCTGTCTGTCTGTCTGTCCTGATCTTGTCTGTCTGTCCTGTCTGTCTGTTCTGTCTATCTGTCTCTCTCTCTCTCTCTCGTTTCTCTCTGTCTGTCTGTCTGTCTGCTGTCTGTCTGTCTCTCGTCTTCTCGATGTCTGTCTGTCTGTCTGTCTTGTCCGGTCTCTCTCATCTCTCCTGTCTGTCTGTCTGTCCTGTCTGCATGCCGTCTGTCTGTCTGCTGTCTCTATCGGCCCCTCTTTCTCTTCTCTATCTGCTCTCCTCTCGTCTCCGCTCTCTCTCTTATCTCTGCTCTCTCTGCTCCTCTTTCTCTCCTCTTTCTCTCTCACTCTCAGTCTTCTACTCTCTCTGTCTGTTCTCTCTTCCCTCTCTCTCTTCTCTCCGATCTCTCTCCCCCCCTTTCCCTCTGTCTGTCTCTCGTCTCTCTATCTCCCTCTTTCTCTCTCAGCCTCTGTCTCTCTCTCCTGCTTTCTCTCGTCTCTCTCTCTCGCTTCTTTCTCTCCTCTCTCTTTCTTTCCCCCTCTCGTCTCTCTCTCTCCCTCTCTCTGTCTTCGCCTCTGCTCTCTCTCTCTCCTCGGTCTCTCTCCCCCTCTTCCCCTCTCTCGTCCCTGTCTCTCTCTTCTCGTTCTCCTCCTATGTCTCTCTATCTCTTTCCTTCCTCTCTCTGCTTCTATCGCTTTTTCTCTTCTCTCTCTCTCTCTCTTGATCTTTTCCGCGCTCTCCCCCCTCTCATCTCTCTCTCTTCTCTTTCTCCTCTCCTCTTTCTCTCTCCGTGACCTGCTCATATTCGCCCTCATTCTTTCCCATTTTCATTCTCCTCCAGCTTATTTTTTCTCACCCTATCCTCCCTCTCTTTTCTCTTTCTGTGTTTTTTTTCTTTCTAGCCGCTCTGTCCTCCTATTCGCTCGCTTTCTCTATCAGTACTTTTGTCCTGTCCGTATCCATTAATCCTTCTTTTCCCTCTCTTACGCCTGCTTGCCCCACCCTCTGGGGACTCCTACCACCCTCTCTCGCCCTAATCTTCCTTATCCTCTCTTTCCTCTACTCTTCGCCCCCCTCTGCCCTCCGCCCTCTTCTCTCACCCTATCCTCGCTTCTCTTCTTTCTCTCTTGCCCACCTCTCCGCCGCTTCGCCCTATTCTTTCTTTTCCTCGCTCTTTCTCTCGCCTGGCTTCTTTATATCTCGCGCGCCTATCTCCCTCCTTCTTGTCTTCGTCCTTGCCCACCGCTCGTCCGCCCTCTCTCGCCCTATCCCTCTCTTCTCTCTCTCTTCCTCTTTCCCCATCCCTCTCCGCCCCGC